TGATTGGTATTCTAGCATTCTGCTTCGCTACTTGTACTACGTGTGTGAGGTCAGTCCTTGTCAGGTCAGTCTTTGTATCTAAGTCTTCCCTGCGCTATTCAGCACTTTTGTATGTATGAGAATGCACATTGTCTGTCGAGATTCTACTCTCACCGCATTGTCCATTTCAGTCCTTTTTATCACACTGCAGTTCCTCGGTTATTACGAACATCACATATCTGTGCATGTAACACTGAAACAGGGCCCAGTAGGTCTTACCGAAGCCTTGAGCCTCGCATTCGCTCCTCCATACTTCAATAGTCCTTTGAGAAGTTCACTCAATCTGGCGTTTTCCCTTGTTCAACAACTTCTCATAGTGAGCGATAGCTTGTGGAACGGTCTGCATCAATTCCTCCCTTGTGAACCATCTGTCCTCCTTAGGATCAGTCTGATATCTGAACCGAACGCGATACTGCAGTTTCAGCTTTGGAGGACGGCCCCTGCCTGTTGGTCTTGAAACCGGCATCTCCCTGTGGTCAACGATGTAGTCGATGTCGACCGCTACATCCATGGTTGGGGGCAGCATAGATCGACGAGAGGGAAACTGATCAGTTTCCTCGAAAGGTGCAAGTTTGGAGGCATGGAAGACAGGGTAAGTGCGAAGGTGACCAGCGATCCGTATTATATAGGAAGGCCCATCCGGATCATTTCCGACAACATTTAGAATCTCCCATGGCCCAAAATAATGTGGCATGAGCTTGCGGAAGATCCCATGCTCCTGCCCCAGTTCAAAAGCTTTGACCCAGACTCTGTCCCCTACCTGGAATGTAGATGGGCGGTGGTGCTTGTTCTCAAATTCTATCATTGCGGCCTGTGCTTTATGCATCTGTTCTACAGCTTGCTGCATCAGGCATTTGTATCGATAGGCGAATTCTAAGGTGCCTGGCGCAGCAGCCGGCTGGCTCTCAGGTAGTAGAAAGTCTAGGGGTAGTCTAGGCTTGAAGGTCAGTAGCAGACTGTTGGGGCTCACCCCTGTTGCTCTGTGCACAGCTTTATTGTAGAGACTGGCAACAAGAGCAAGTTTCTCATCCCAGTCCAGCTGGTTAGGCTTGATATAGTGCCTTAGCAGGTGTTGTACAACGCAGTTCAGCTGCTCTGCTTGCCCGTTTGCGTCTGGGTGGTTTCCTGAGGTCATCTGCAGCTGTGTCCCTTGTTCAGCAGCTGCAGCTTTCCACAATTCGCTTGTAAATCGAACGTCCCGGTCGCTAACTATCGACTTTGGCTATCCAAAATCTCTGACCCAGTTTTCTTTGAACAACTTAATCATGTACTCGGTCTTGGCTGTCTCGGGCATTGCGACTAACCTAGCATACTTACTAAACCTATCCACAATGACAAAGACGTATCGCATACCGCTCTTGCTGGTGACCAGTGTGTCCATGAAATCCATGGACAGGATCTCACCGGGCCTTTCCGGAATCGGAAGGGGCTTGAGAAGCCCAAGAGGGGCTTGTGTACGTGGCTTGTCTCTCTGACTCACCTGACAAGTTTCCACGTACAGCTTGGCATTTCTCATCATTGTGGGCCACCAGAACTGCTGCAGCAAGTTTGCTGCAGTCTTCTTATAGCCAAATGTCCTGTGGCGTTATGACATTCACCTAAAAATAAACTACGCAAAGACTCCCGGTTTGGCACACACAAACGTTAATTCCCGGCCTTCGCAAGGAACAACAGGCCATCGACCAACACAAACTCTTCAGAAGCTACTTTGTCCTTTGCCTCGAGCCTGCTTATGATCTCAGGCATAAACGGATCCTCGCGATAGGCTTCCACCAGTGATCGAGTAACATCGTCCGCAAGCCCAAACTCAATGATCAGCGCACCAAGGAAGTTTGGCCTACGCGACAACGCATCAGGAACCTTGTACTCTCCTTTGATGTACTTGGGTTCAAAGTCATACTGCTCTATGACTTCAATCCAACGTTTCAAAGCATCGGAGAGCACAGGCTGTGTTCTCATCCACCTCAGGGTCTGATGATCAGTCCTGACATAGAAGAACCTCCCAAGGAGATAGTGCCTCCAGTGGGTTAGCGCTTCGTAAATCGCATAGAGTTCCTTCTCATAGGTGGGCTTCGCCAACTTCTGAGAGGGCATCTTTTTGGACATGTACTCTACCGGCCTCAACTTTGGCCCCTTCTGCTGCGCAAGCACGCCAACGCCACCAATGCCCTATTGGCTGGCATCCGTGGTTACTGTGAATGGCTTATCAGGATTAGTAAGTTTCAAGACCTCATGGTGTGTTAAAGAATGCTTCAGATGTTTGAAAGCAGCCTCACACCTGTTTGTCCACTCCCACCGGGTGTCAAGGCGTGTGAGGTCCGTCAAAGGTGCGACCACTATGGTATAGTTCTTTACAAAATTACAGTAGTAGCCGGTCACCCCTAAGAAGGACCTCATCTCAGTCACAGACTGAGGATGTGGCCAGTCACGAATGTTGGCCACCTTCGCGTTATCGGGGTTCAATGCCTCATGGCCCAGATACAAGATCCTGGTGCGGCCGAACTCGCACTTATCCCAGTTGATCTTGAACTGGCGGTGTCGAAGGAGACTGAGAACTTTGTCTAGATGGGCTACATGCTCCTCGGCAGTCCTACTAAAGATAAGTATGTCATCGAGGTACACAATGACAAACTTGTCCAAGTAGTCATGAAAAATCCGGTTCATAGCGTGCTGAAGGGTGCCAGGAGCATTGCAAAGGCCGAAATGCATCACCACAAACTCGTACAGACTGTACCTGGTTTGAAAAGCGGTTTTGTGTTGATCCTCAAGCCGGATTGCATTCTGATGGTACCCAGGCTTTAGATCTATCTTACTGAAGTACCGACACCCTTGCACTCGGTCCAATAAGTCATCGATGCGCGGTAGGGGCTCTGCGTTCTTCTCAGTGATGGCATTGAGGCCCCTATAATCAATGCACATCCTCAACGTTCCCCCCTTCTTTGGTACGAATAGGACAGGAGACTCGTAAGGGGAGACACTTGGCCGGATCCAACCCTTTTCTATGAGATCCTTGAATTGCTGGCGAAGCTCGTCTAGCTCCGCTGAAGACATTCGATAGATCCTACCCTTCGGAATACTAGACCCTGCCATAATCTCTATCACGTGGACGACCTCCCTCTCAAGAACCCCTTTCGGCTCTTCAAATAGATAAGGGTACTTACCGACCACTCCCTCTATCTCTGGAGGCATTTTCATCGGCTCACCCACTGTAGAGACATACATTAAATACATACCCTCCTTCGGATTTTGCTTATAATAATTATAAAACACGGCCGCACACATGGATCCGTAGGACTCAATCCACCTACTAGCTTTATACTTACGTAATCTGGCAGTTCCCCCTCCGGGCAAGGTGTATTTGACCACTTTTTGGTCCTAGTCAAATTGGGGCTGTGCAACCGAAAGATAGTACATACCCAGTAAGATATCCATAGGGAGATCATCGCTGACTAGGAACGAGACTCCATATCTCAACGTCTTTTAGGTAGTCATAGACTACCATGCGCTGTTTGTTGGCACATGTCGACTCCACGGGTCGACTGAGGCGTTGCACTTGCCCCTGTAAGCGCAGCCGTTCAACACAAGCGCGGTTGATAAAGTTTCACATTGAATAGGTATAGTAAAAGGCCTTGGCCTTACGACCGCCTATGTCTACCTCGGCGACGAACAACTTCCCCTTAGGAGCTTTTGCCATGGCCGTCCAAGAAGCTAGCGGGTTTGATCTAGACCACTCTCCTCTAGCTCCTCTAAGGTCTCAAACACATTCATTGAACAAAGGATCGATTGGTCCGAATGTGTTTGCGTGACGACAACGAAGTCAATAGCTGAGGCCATCTCTCGAGATGGTTAGGGTGTGTCCACCACCTCGACCCTAGCAGGAACAACTATAATTCCTACTGGCCCAACGTGTTTCCCGAAGCAGTGCCGAAACTGATGGCTACATTGCTACCGTGGGAAGCGGAGGAGACCAGCACCTGCCCCACCGTAGGCGGGATCTTTTCTATTACCTTATTGTTTCGGCACTTGAATTGGTTATGGCCATGTTGGCCACAACGAATGCAAGCCGCTTGAGAGTAACGATCTCTCCACACGTCCTCAGTAAGCCCCGCTTTCTCCCATGGAGGAGCATTGGGGTCTACTTGACTCCTTAACTGGGAACCTCCATGGCGTTTACTGGTCGCCTTACCTTTCTGCACAGAGGCAGCGACTGCTCCACCCCCTGAAGCTTCTACGCTGCCCGACTCTGACCCTACTCCCTCCTGGAAGTCGTCATCTAACTCCATGGCAGATCCATCGTTATCGACGAACATGATGCGCTCCTTAGCCTTCTAGTTAGGAGGCAATGTCTTCTTCCTACCGTCCGTAGTGGGTTGGTGCCCATGCCCGGTCTTTGCCTCTAGATCTAGGGCCTTCTTGTTGAATGAAGGAAAGTTGTGAACTGTGATCATGGCCTCACCTGCCAAGTGATTCCTGAGCTCTATGGGGAGAGACCTCAGGTAAGTGGTAAGTAAGACCTGGGGGTCGTAGCGCACTCCAGAGATCAGATGCTCGACCGCCTTTGTGGCATCCCTTACTGACCTGAACTTTCTTGAGCTCATGGTCAATATTGCGTCGGTGGCCTTTTGAGCCTCCTGCGGATCATGCCACCTTTCTTCCACCAGCTTGAGGAAATCATCCAATATCTGGGTGACTGCCCAAGCGCGGAAGGCATGACCGTAACCCTGTAGTTGCACATACCCACTTAACCACCTTGCTGCACTCCCCTTCAGATAGGAGGCAGCCACAAGCACTTCCTCGTGAGGCAAGGTTGACTTGCACTTCACATGTATCTCATGAGAAGGGTTTCGGTGATGCGATGGCAGTCTTTGGAACCCACTGTCCTTGTCTCGGTGCCTGCACTACTCCAGGCTGTAGGCCCTGGGGTGCAGGCTGCTGCACTAGCTGCTGTTGGGGCTGTACGCCCTGCGGCTGTGCTGGCTGAGAGACAGCAGGCTGCCCTGTCACGACAGGCTGCAACGGAGGTTGGGAGAACACTGCCTGTACAGGAATCTGTACACTAGGACCTGCTGGGAACCCGCTTGTAAAAGGCATAACCAGATGGGAAGCGGCCTTTACCGAAGCTGGAGAGATTATAAATGGGTCTACTCTAGTTATCGGTGGGACAAAAGGAGGAGGCTGTACAACGGGCCAGGCACCTGGCCCGGATGGTGATGGTGTGGCCTGAACTCGCTCGACCAGCACGACCAGGCTCCTCTAAATGTCTTGCAAGAGTGACGTATGGTAGTCCTGCATCTCTACTACATCTAGCAGGGCTATCATCACAGTCCTTACATCGTCATCCATGTTGGGCAGGTCCATCTCCTAACGCCCTAATGTCCGCTTGCCTCCGCTGCATCCTAGACGTACGTCTGATCATTCTTTCCTTCTCTACCTGTATCTCATCTAGTGCCGTCTGTAGCTGGGCCTCTTGAGCACTGGCTTGCTGAATGGCGACCGCCTCGGGAGTTAACACTGTTTGTTGGCTTGCCGTAACGCTAGTGGACTGACTCAGGGTTTGTGCGACCGTCGCCCAGACAGCTCCTGAACTATTGGGCTGGGAACTTTGCTTCGCAGCGGTGGCCATGTTGGATGCTGAAGTAGATGCCTCACTTGCGAAGGCTCTGCTTGCCTCTGCGTCCCTAGCCCTCCGCTGCTGCTGCTGCCTTTCCCTAAGCTAGCGAAACAGAAAACGGTCACCCTCTGGTCCTAATGCTACGTGGACCAACGGGCGTCTTGACAAACGCAGGATCCGATCGTTCGGCACAGGGTCCTCCCTGTCGCTCATAAGCTACAGCGCTGGGCACTGTCTGCACTAGGTTTTACTCGGTTGCCTACCATAGTGTAGTGCTCAGACCGATATAAAATAATAAAATAATTAACCGGTGGCAATATCAGAGTATACACAATCGGGTCCAACAGGTAAGTCCAAATTCTTACAAACGAAACTATTTTTGCTCGACTAGTTTGCGAACAGAAAGCAAAAAGCAGAATAAGAAGGTTCTACCTATGCTGTCTGTCAGATCTGTTAATGGCTGTACATCAACTAATCAAAATAAAATTATAAAATAGAATCATTTGTATGGTTGTTTGCAGAGTGGAATTTTTCCCGAACTGATCACCTGGAACCTACACCTCCCTCAGTTCTTCTTGATGTCAGCGTTCTTGAGCCATCCAGATAGCGTGCATGTCTAAAGGTGTGCACATGGCCCACCCCTGTGCCCGAAGTCAATGCTGAGCTGGCCAGCCCTGCACCATGTTTACCCTTGCATGCAGCGAGCCTTACACCGACCGACTGGCTGATCAAGAGACAATTTAAGGACGGCCCCCAAGGTCCTCGGGAATTATTTAACGTCGCAAACAGGACAACGATCACAGCCAATGGAAGGTACCCTGCCGGTATTTATTTATAGACGTCCGGTACTCGTCTCCCCTGTAGGGCTGGCCTGCCCCTCATGACCTATTCACAGTGCAGCAGGCAGACAAAGGACAAGGGAGCAAAGCATGCGTGCTCTACTCCCGGTGGGTTGGAATGGAGACGGTGACCCAGTGCTTTGTCCAGGGCCCGTCAGATGGCAACACCCTCTCCTTCCAGATGCTCCATGTGAACAATTCCGACTCTCAAGGTTGAGCTTACTCGACTCCTCACATGAGAGGACACTCAAGACAGAACACACATCCTTACGGTAAGAAGTGTCGAAGAGGGTAGATAAGGTTAAGAGCAACGTACCTCAAAATAGCTGCCCCCAACCACAAATATTCTCACCAGATAACCTGACGTCGATTGTGATGACCAATCATGGCTTCAGCACAACCAGCATTACGCCGCCATTCCACCTCAGCATCAATCGCACATCAGATAGTTCTCATCACACTGCGAAACACACAATATCACCTCTCAGCCTTCCTGGCGATACCCCTCTTCGCCTGGGTCGCCTGCTTGTTTGCCATCCTCACAACACACTTCCCATGACCGCTCACCCAGCTAACCGCGTGCATGCACCGCATAGGCAGAAGACAAGCGCCAGATTAGCGCAACGTACCTCAACTCCAATACCAAAATGCAAGGAAAATGAGCGATAGCGAATTCCAGAAACCAAGCAGCATCATACACATGAAACCAAATAGTCTTCACCTCGAACCAAAAGCAAAATTGCAACTCGAGTTCCACCAGAGCATAGCAAAAGCTCACAAGTGACAATGTTGTCTCATCATCATCAACAATGAACCAATGTTGAATCCCTATCTGGCGCTCGGCGCCCAGACTACGAATGGCATATCCTCTCTAGCCTATCTACAACGTCGCTGGTGACGTCAACAGTTTCCCGAAGTACGAGCAGATCTCGGCAAATGCCGTTTGCCTCAAGCACCAGGTATGTCTCACGCTTCACTCACAACCTCGATCCCCCACACAGATGCCACATGCAACCACGGACCACTATGCGCCCCATCTAGCATGTCGCAGGCCAGCTTGGCTATGGATGCTTGCGTGTGCCGTGTTCGCTTGTGAGCGTGTGGGTGCTTGCCTGCAGATAGCGCAGCAGCGCTGACGCAGCATGTAGCAAGTGCTTGAATGTCCAGCCCGCAGCCAGGCCCTTCCTTTATGGAAAGTGGCTGCCAGTTGTGGGCTGCCTGGCTGGCCTGGACCTCCCCACGGAAGCTTTGGGTAGGCCCCAAGTGGCTGAGCCCCCTATCCCAGAGAATCTTCCACAGGGCCTGCGGTGGTTACCCGTGTCCAACTGCCAGCGGCCTGCGCTTGGCTCATGCCTCGTGTCTGGACTAGGGCCTGCCTCGATACATTTGGGAAAAGGCAGGCCGGGCCTGGACTCACTCAACCAACTGGCGTTGCGCAAGTGCCTGAATTTCCCAACTGCGTCCAAAACCCAAAAATAGGCCTCTAGTCACTTGTCAGGCCCGCCTTCACTTAGGGTGGTTGTACTTGCTGAAACAGTGCCCAGTAGGGCTTACCGAGGCCTTGAGCCTCGTACTACAAAGAAACAGGCTGACACAATTATTCATTTCCTGCCCACCTCCTTCATGTCGGCCACCTTTCACTGCATGGAGGCGGAGAAACATGAATACAGAAAGGGCGAATAAAAGAAGAGGGGAAAAAGAAAAAGGAAGGGCAGACGCTATGGAATACAAAAAGGGCGAATAAAAGAAGAGGGGAAAAAGAAAAAGGAAGGGCAGACACGCTATGGAATACAAAAAGGGCGAATAAAAGAAGAGGGGAAAAAGAAAAAAGAAGAGGTAGCAA